GTGAGCATAAATTGAGGCAATTTAGGATTTGAACAAACAGCTTGTAGTACAAGGGGTCATATATAGACAGAGAACCGGAAGGGGCATGTATGGAGGCGTGGTCCGACTCCTGAAGATATATCATCTCCATTTCCATTTCACATTACGGTGCATTATAATGTTGGTGGACGTTAATTAGCTATAACAGACACTCACTTTGCTTTCCTTTTTAACGTAATAGTTTCGATATACATGAAAACCTGAAAGATGTGGTTTGTTGTGTTAACTAATTATCGTGGAAAGTTCAGATTTGCAAATTGATGATGATTACTCTCAAGTCATGACAAACAGCTCATGATACACGTCTACATAAGCAATGCCACACTTCCTTTATAAATTATGGTATCAGCAACACTGGCCCTGTATTTGTTTGGTTACGGATCGACAGTATCATCACAGCGGCGGCAGCAGCGGATAATTTCCGGAATATTCACGGAAGAGACTCCGTTAGTGCAGCTACTTCCGCCTTTAGCCGCCTCTCCTGACACTGAGAAATGGTAAGAGAAATTAGACATATGTACTTATGAAACGACATAGCTGAATAGTCGTACATATTCGGCGTTGTGGGTTTTGGGTTTGTAGCCGTTCGTTAACGGAAAATGCACCCATAAACGGATTTTGTTACTCCCCATTTGTGACACTTAGAGTAGCTAGGTGACCGGGATTGCTAACAGGCTAATTTTAGCCAGCTAGTTTTCTTGCTAAAAGAAAAGGCAGATTGCTGTTTGGTTATAGTTCATGCTGATGGTGAGAACAGATAGGTCCTTACTCTGTAGTAATATTAATTGTTAAATAGCGTACAGTGGTGTATGCGGTGTTGAAAAGGGAGGGTTGCATCTGGCGAGCTGGTTGTCACAGCTGACCTGATGATATGTTTGATAAGGAGAGATTTAGGGTGGAGGTGCTGCACCCTCTGGAGCTTATGTAAAAAAATATTCTATTGCTAAGCCATGTTGCATATTTGAATAAAAGCTTTTAATATTTTTATTTGTCTTACTGACTTTAGTACGGCATGTGGCAACACTCACCGAACACTTTATTAGGCACACTTTGCTAGTACGTTTTGCTTCAGGTGTGTCTTGATTGAACAAGGTGCATTCATCACAGATTTTGGGCCATGTTGGCACGATGGCATCACACAGTTGCTGCAAGTTTGTTGATTGCATGTTCTTGATCCAAGCCTTCTATTACACCGCATCAGAAAGGTGCTCTACTGGATTCATATCTGATCTCTCATCATGTTCACAAAACCAGTTTGAGATGTTTTGAGCTAGGAAACATGTGTCTTATCCTGCTCGAAGCAGTCATCAGAATATGGGTACACTGTATACAGCAATACCTGGGTACTCTGTGGGATTTAAACGGTGCTCAGTTGGTGACAAGAGAATATTCTCATGCCATCATGCCACCAATGACACCAGGCTGGATGGAACCATGCTCTCATGTAGTTTACCTCAAATGTTGATGTTACCATCTGACTGTTGAAACTGTCAGCAGCAATTGAGACTGGTCAGACCGGTAGAGCTTTTCCAGTCTACCGTTGTTCAATTTTGGAGAAGGTTTTTTGTGTTGTTGTTGTTTTTTTGAGTTGTTGCCTTCCTATTAGCCTGAAGCACTGTGGCCAGTCACCTGACCTGTGGCATAAGCAAAGCATTTTCACCCAGAGAACTGCAGCTCACTGTATATTTCTCTTTTTTGGACCATTTTCTGTAAACCCTAGAGATGGATGTGTGGGGAAATCTCAGTCAGTCAGCAGTTTCTGAAATACTCACTTAAAACCTCCTTTCTTCCCCACTCAGATGCTCAGTTTGAACTTGAGCAAATTGCTCGACCAGGTCTACATGACTAAATGCACTGAGTTGCTGCCATGGGACTTGCTAATTAAATATTTCCATTAACAAGGAGCTAAACAGGTATACCTAATAAAGTGACCAATGAG